GCAGTGGCCGTTCCCGGCCACCGCAGCCTCGACCTGCTGGGCTCCGGCGATTCCTTCCACCCCAGCCTTCCGAGTAGCTGGAACTGCAGGCGCGCGCTACCACGTCCGGCTTATTTTTTTTTTTTATTTATGGTAGAGATGAGTTCTCGCCTGCCCAGGCGGGTCTCGAACCCGCGGGCTCAGGCAATCCACTCACCTCAGCCTCCCAAAGTCGCGGGATTACAGGCTGAGCCACCGAGCCTGGCTGTATGATTTTTTTTTTAACACCTGGGAGTGCAAGTTCTTTTGTCAAATATTTCTTATTCTTTTTGCTTCTTTATTTATCCACATGAACACTAGTACAATAGTAAGGAAAACATATACCACATGAATATTCATTGAAATTTATAAATCAATTCTGAGAGAGTAGACATCTTCTAACTATAAGACTTCTCAGTCACACATCCAGCTTTTGATACAATGTAACAGTTCAGCTCACAACTCTGGTGAAAACCCAGAGGGTTGTAGTCTGTGTTGCTGAACTGTAAGCTCCAACCACCAACAAGGCAGAAGCAGGATGAACTGTAGGTTTGACTCAAAGGCCAAAAGATGTGAGTGTTTGTGACTCAAAAGTCCCAAAAGACTTGGATTCTGGCTCATTGTGCTTTTGTTCATTAATTAAACTTCCCAGATAAATTGTTCTTTAGTTTCTTTGTAAACATAAAATGTAAGTTACTTATCGTGTTCATCACTTCCCTTCTTCCTTGGGGATGTTGTTTATTATAGACACCGCTGATACATTTTGCTGGAGAAAATCAGCCAACAAAGACTCATTAATTTTCACAAAAGTAAGATTTTAACCAATAGGTTCAATCATTTAAAAATTACATCTTAGACTCCGTATGTACAAAAATGGCAATGGCATATGGTTCAACTATTAATGAATATAGACAGCCCTTGTAGGTGTGTTTCATTTGCTTGGTGTCTGCTGGCTATGTGGATCGAACTCCCTTTCTGACCATAATGTACGGAAAAATCAAAAGTCTTGTTTTCATGAGTATTTCAAAGGTTAATATAAACATCTAAAATGTTTCCAAAATGAAGGAAAATTGGTGCATATATGAATATTTAGTAAAGGCTAAACTCTTCCATCTCATATACTATTTATTACAGTAAAGAATACTTTCCTCCAATAACTCAAAAAACAATATATGCTGGAGGTGATGCGGCAATAAGGGAACGCTTCTACACTGTTGGTGGGAGTGTAAGCTAGTACAGTCTTTGTGGAAAACAGCGTGGCGATTCCTAAAAGATCTAAAAATCGACCTCCTATGTGACCCCACAATCCCCCTACTGAGACTATACCTGGAGGAGCTGAAATCACTCTATGACAAAGATACCTACACACGCATGTTTATTACAACATTATTTACAAAAGCAAAAACATGGAACCAACTGTGCTGCCCACCAAAAGAGGACTGGATTTTAAAAAAGTGGTACATTTACATGATAGAATATTATGTAGCCATAAAGGACAAAATTATGAACTTCACAGCAACTTGGATGGACTTAGAGGTCATAATACTGAGTGATCTATCACAAACAAAGAACCGAGTATCACATGTTCTCACTCATAAGTGGACTTTGAACAACTATCATAGTACTATAAGAAAGGGATTGGCAGTAGTGGGAAACTGCCAGGGGTGTGAGGGCACACCTCATCAACAAGGGTACCTGCAAAATAAACATTTGTATACTTAACCCTGAATTGTACCCCACATATCTAAAATTTAAAAGGTTTTTTAAAAAAGAATACATTCCTTTCATTTATTTACTCACCTGCCTAAATAATCTTTCTAAAGCATGGAGCACACTATCAGTTCAATGACCCTCCTAAGTTTAAGTAGATCTGTAAACTCTTGGTGTGACATTCCAAGCTCTGCAGTAAACTTCAGACCCTGCTTCCTGTTAATCCCTATCATGGGGTTACCATCCTGGACAGCGTGATCCTCCCTGAGCTCCCAAAATATGACTTGTTTATTTCTGACTTTTTCAGTTCATCCTGCTTTCTCCAGCTCCATCACTGCATACATTATGTCTATTACTCAGATGTCTATTATTCTGCTTCAGAAGACTGTGGGGGGGGAAATCCAGCCCCACGGTGCTTTCTAAAGCACCCATCATAATTGACTCTATGTCATATTCTGCTTCTCTATGTGTCTTATTTTCCTCGGAGGCCTTCTAATTTTTTTGGTGGATCAATGTTCACCCCGCTTTGGGCTAGCTAGGCAGTAAATATCTTGATAAGTGAAGTATGCAAGGCATTTGAGTTGACTGCGTTTTCATTCCATGTGGGCTGATGATGAGAACCAGCAGGAAGTGGATGAGATGCAATGCTTCCCTGGCGGACCATGATGCCATCACCTCCTAGAGCAGTGAGGCTGCTACCCAAGAGACTTGCCCAAATGTTGTTCTATGTGACAGCCACATCCATATTTTTGTATCTTAATTCTCCTTATTTTTTGAAAACAGGTCCTGATTTTTTTTTTCTCCCACCCCACCCCAAGGTCCTGATTTTTGCTAAATGGTTCATCCCTTCAAGTTCAGCCAGAGTAGGCACTGCTCTTTCTCAGGGTGGGATGGGGTATTAATCTAGGAGAATGCATACGTTGCCAGCAAAGCTGATAGGAAACTTTTTGTTGTCTCAGCTTTTGGATTTCAGAAAAAAAAAGCAAACGGAAAGAAAAGTGACAAAATATTTGCGTATTTTCTTAAAAAGTGCTTCCTTGCAATTGATTTTTATATGTTACGTTGTTCCCTGAATATTATCAGTGGCGTTCACAGCAGTTTGCCTCATTCTCTTCCTCTGGGGTTGCAACACATAAATAAAATTGCCCACATTTAGGATGCTTTAGCTGAAGTCTTACCTCTTCCTGGGTTTAGTTAGATGAGACCCTTTAATATTTAATGCAAATTTATTTTATTAAAGTATAATTTAATCAAATGATGAAAATGACTGGCTGGAACATTCCCACATACTGTTATTATTAACTTGGTTATTCTTTTTTTATTATTGTGTCTTAAAATATTTAGGGATCATACTCATCCTCACATGTTGAAATATTTTCAAATGTTGCTGAATCACAGAATAAAGCTACTAGATATCTTTTCTCATTTGATGTATTGTTTGTTCCTTTGTGGTGTACAAGCTCATAAATAATATATCCATTGTTTATATAAGAGGAGGTTGTAAGGTTACTACTTAAAGATGTTATAGCATCTATTTTTTATTTTATCATCTTTGTATGCGGTTAAAATTTGATAACCATTTTGTTTTACTCAAAAGTAGAATTGGGATAAAAATCTTCAAACTTAAAAATATGTGAGCAATTCCAACTACTCATTTTGTTTTCAAATTTCCTCTTACCCATAGATGGCTACAAGGCAGTAACTTCTGCTCTGCGTACCTTTTAATCTTAGACTTTAGAGAAATGTTTTCTTTTTTCTTGATTTTCTATCTTTTTCTAAGTCCTACTCTTCACAAGGAAGCCAGAAGTGTGACAGAAAGGTGTGATTTTTAATTTACACCAGAGTCTTGCAAATAATGTCTTTTCACACCCTGCTGTTGCTGGTTAGCCTGGGGGGGAGTTCTGTGGCTACTGTTTGTCATGATAAATTAAATTCACTGTTGTAATTCAGAAAGATGGTCTTCTAAGTTTAACCCTTGTCTTCAATTTTTCAACTTGGTATTTGTGAATACTTAAGTATGTGGCTTATTACTTCGCAGTGTACTTGTTTTCTAGGAAATGATTTTTGAAGGCTATCTTTTCAGATTATCAAGTATGAACGGGAAACATCTTTCTCCTTTCCATCATTCCAGCTGAAATGTTGGTAATTATAACTTGTTTTAAATACACAAAAAGTGAAAATATAATATTCTTTTTAGAACTTCTAGCAACAAAATTTAAATACATAACTAATAAATATCATTCATCTTTCCTTATGATCCCAGTTCTCTAAGAATAGCTTTTCCCTGTCTTTATAGAATAGTCAGTATCGCACTGTATAAGTAAATCTATATCATTTAGATGGAAAGTTGAAATTGCCAGTATTGTTAAAAGATTAAGATGTTTCAAGGTTTTTTTAATTTATTTTTTATTTTTTTAATTTATTTTTTTAGTTTCCCTCCAACCCATTAGAAATCTTTTGGTTTGAATTATAAAAACAGAATATGCTACCTAATGGAAATGGGAGAAACTATTAAAATTAGTATACTTGTTTTAGGTTTTCTAAGTGATTGGAGAATAGTGACATGCAAAGATAACTGAATAGTTAAAGAACATATCTTGCAAACTCTGCACACAATTCTTTCATTATAATTACTTACCTATTTAATTGTTTTAAATGTTTGAATCTGCCTAAGTTAAAAAAAAAAGTTTTCAATCAGTATGTCAGTTTATCTTGTTATCTTATTCATCATAGTAGTATTCAACATCGTTCTAGAACTTTGGAATGGAGTATGTAAGAGTATTATCAGAAGCAAGGATAGAAACATTCCGATTCTCCTGATAAATGTAGGTGCTACTTCCTCCTCTTCCTAAACCAAAGTGAGGAGAAGCTGTAAATTACAAGCTCTTTCTCCTAGCTGGGAGCAGTAAGGGGTTAACCAGTCTAGGTTTACTAAGTATCTCAGTTAGATTTTCATCAAATCCTTCCTCCCCTTCTTCCCTGCCCACCCTTTTTGTAAATGTCAACCACTTCCTGATGAGCTGGTAGTGGTGAATTTCACACCTTTCTTTTCTTTGTGAAGAAACCAGGGTGTTAATGGTACAGGATTGGGTACCATTGGATGACTCTGGCTGTCAGTAAAACCCAGGGATGCCTGTGGGGGAAAAAAAGTACAAAAAGGTAAAGATATTTGAGAAATGAGACTAGGAAACAGGTTTAAATCGGTCTTGTTCTTAAGATGGGTATTTGTTTTGTTAGCAACTTTTAAATATGTATTATAAAAATAGTAATTTTTAAGAAGCTTGATATTAAGAGTCTAAAGGAGTCTAGCATAGGAAGGAGCTGATAGTTAGAAAAAAGAATTAAAGACTAGTCAGAAAGAAAAGCTGGAGAACTCTTTTCTGACCTCTTATTCTACAGGTGATTTACAGGATACAGCAATGGAAACCTGGTCAGTTGATCAGGTCTGCAGTTGGTTAGTGGAGAAAAACCTAGGAGAGCTAGTTCACAGATTCCAAGGTGAGTTGTGTACACTTTGAATAGACTGCAGTTGAGCAGCTGAGATATTCTGCTGTCTTCTGTTGTTGAAAATGACTTTTATTGCCAAATGTCTGTGTGCCTGTGAATGTGAGTGATGAGTTGCTGCTGTGGAGAACTTTTCTTTACTGACTGTAGCAGAGTTTCCATTTGATTCTGACATCCACAGGAGAATGTAGTATTTCAGGAGGAGCTTAAATACAATAAAGTCCGATTATGGAAAATACATAGTTGAGATAGGTATTTAATATTGCTTTGGTTTTTAAATCATGCAGCATGCGTTTTGCACAGTCCTGGGTTACTGGTATTGGATATTGTCTAGGAGATATTACTAAGATTACTTTCCTAAGAAGGCTTTTGTTTCTTCATAAAAACAATGCCGGTTAGAGAGAAGTATAATGGAGAGGACGTTAATGTGAAAATAAAAAGTTTTGATTGTGACTCCATGTTCTGGAACTTTCTTAGGAGCAGACATCGATATGAAATTATGCAGCATCAGAATTCTATCTTTGTCAAAAATATGGATAATGTTATAACTGCAGTAGATAACTGCATTAGATGAGCCTTTTAATGCCATAAGCAATTTTGTCAGAGTGCCTGTGTTTTATAGTGTTTTACTGGGAAGCCGTATAGAAACTATTTTTTCCACCCAGAGGAAGAAGTCAGTGGGGCCGCACTTCTAGCCCTTAATGACCGAATGGTTCAGCAACTGGTAAAGAAAATTGGGCACCAGGCTGTTCTGATGGACTTAATTAAAAAATATAAGTGGAATACTCAAGGACTGAAGTCTCCTGGAAGCCCCAAAGAGACAGCCATGGTCACACAAACAGAAGCAACCCCAGAGTGAGTATGTTCCTAAGTAGCTTTATATTTGATTCCATGCTGCCATGGATGGCTGTAGTATCATGTTTGTGTTTAAAGCTCTTTGAAAACTGGGACTATTTTCAACTAGACTGTGTGTACGGTAGTTCTAATATTTGAGTGAATGACACTGCAGCATTTTAAGAATCAAGATACAGGTTTTTAATTCATCACCTTTTAAACACTGAATCATTAGGGAAATCCTGTAAGCTGGGAATTACTATATACAATGCTGTAGAACAAGCAGTTGAAATAGATGTATAAATAACACAGGTAAGCAACTCAAGATTTAAAATCAGGGTTTGCTCATTTGAAATCAGGAGCATGTCGGCTGCTCCTTTGCTTTTCAAAAAAATATATTTATTTATTTATCTATGCATTTATTCGCCAAGGATTCCTAAGAGTGAGTAATAATTTATATTCACCTCTACAGGCCTTTTCGATATAATTTGCTAAACACCCTTGCCACATGGGTTTGCTAATTTTTGATCCTTAGAATAATGAATGCTAAGATAGTACTTCAGAAAAGTCATGTAGAAAAATTTGTGGTGACAGATAAAAGCTCTGAGGTTTAGGAATGGTTGTGTTTGTTTGCCTTTTAATTACTGGCTTCTGCAATGAAAAGGAATGATAACAAGATTGATCAAATTAAATTTCCATTGTACAAATCTATGCCAGAGGATCACTTCAGGCATTCTGATTTGATTCTTCCATGTTCAAGGCTTTTGGCAAGGTTTCTAAGGTTAAATATTTGCTGCAGACCAATTCATTAATTTTAAAATAAGATCGTGACGTTTGATGAAACCCATTCTGTGTTTTTACTTTAACTTTTCAAGATTAGATTTGTGATAATATCAATTTCTCCCTTTCTCTTAAATAAGCAGTATAATGTTAGATAGATCTGGTCTACACAATTTTATTTCTAGAATATTTGGAATTTTGAGACATGGAGAAGAACAGGTAGCCTTGAAAGGATGGTCTGCAGTTGGTCTGGAAATTCTACCAATGATTTATTGGAAGGATTTCTAAACATTGTTTGACATGTCTATGTAAAAGCACCCTTTTGGATGTGTGACTTTTGATGAAGTTCCTACTGCAAGCTTTCATTCCTGCCAGCCAAGGGAGGGTGTGAACCTCAAAGAGAGATCAAAGTAATTTCTGGGCATTTTTGGATGAGTAGGACTTTTGAGCTGGAAGTGTTCTTCAGTTGACTGGAATCTTGATATTGCCTTAGGCACAGCTTAGAAGAAAACAGACCGCCTTGTTTCCACTGCAAATCAGTTTCTAATGTTCTCAAGTGAAACAGAACTGGCTAGACTGCCAGGAAATCTGGGCTTCGTTCCTGGTTCTACCACTGACTTGGATTGATTATATTGAATGTTGGCATTCCTGTGTCTTCATTTGTACATTGTGAAAAGTCACATGGTACCTAACTCCTTGTTAATTCACACTGATTTTAGCAGTAACATAATCTTTGAGCAAATCTCTTCTTCTTCTTCCTAACCAGAATAGTCTTGTGTTAAAGCTTTAGTTAACCTGGTTAAAAAAGCTAGTTTCACATGTAGCCAAGACTGGGAATACTGGTTATTTAAGGGTTTTCGGGTGGGGCTTTTCACTCTACCTGGTAAACAGCTGATTCACATTACGGATTGTGTTGTCTTGTATTTGGGTGAAATTATTTTGGTGCGCAATTACAGCTGCATGTGAGAAGAGAATGCTTGTTGGTTAAAATGCTTATTGGGTATATTTGCTTATTGTCAAATATATTCTGCAAATATGTTGTCATTTGTTAAAGATACAGTCAAGTGGGGTGATGGACCAAGATATGGTCAAGTGGGAATGATGGAGAAAGAGACATGGAAATGTGGTGTTCATTAAGCTCTTTTAGAAAGTGCTTATTAAAGATAGGAATTAGTGTCAGAAAGAACCTTGAAGCTAGATATCAAAACGCTTGATTTCAATCCACTGTTAACGGTGCTAGCTACTCACCTAGGCTTGAAGATCCGTTTGACCTTTTTTTAGTCTTAACTTGTTCAATCATAAAATGAAGTGGGTAGAATAAATGATATTTTAGCCTTCTTCTAAAGAGGCTATAATAACATTCTAGATCAGAGGTAGCAGATGGGTTTCAGTTTGAGTGCAAATTCCAGCTAGTGGCTAATGGCCACCTACTATGCTATTTTGGAATAAATCCATAGGCCACATCTGGGCAAAATACCTGGCATCCTATTTAGACCTAAGCAAACGACAGGGATATGAAATAGGTGGGAGTGTTTGCAGTTGCTTTTTGGTTGTGGTCCTTGTTGAAGCTGGTAGAAAAATCACTGGACGGGGAAGGTAGAAAAACTGAGTTCAGATCCTGGTACTGCTACTGAGCATCTTGTGGCCACAAGTAAATTGCTTTGCCTTCTCGACTTCAGTTGCAGCACTTTTAGAAAATGAGGGAGTTGGTGGAATGTAGTTCTAAGATCATGAGAATTCACAAATAATAAGATTTCTCCCCCCCAAATAGCAGGGAGCAGAGGAGGGATCTGACAGGGCTAACCATTTTATTTTGCCAAATAAGAATATTAAGTAGCCAGCATAGTGGCTCAAGCCTGTCATCTCAGCACTTTGGGAGGCTGAGACGAGAGGATTGCTGGAGCTCAGGGGTTCGAGACCAGCCTGGACAACTTGACGAGACCTCTTCTCTACAATAAATCAAAAAATTAGCTAGGCGTGGTCGCTTGCGCCTGTAGTTCTGGCTGCTTGGAAGGCTGAGACAGAAGGATCGCCTGAGCCCAGCAGGTCTAGGCTGTGGTGGCCGTGAGTGTGCCATTGCACTCCAACCTGGGTGATGGAGTAAGACCCCAACTCAAAAAAATATATGAAAGAGAATATTAACTAAAAATGGTACATACATTCTATGATCATCATCATTTTCTAAAGGAAAGGATCATCTTAACACTATTTAAAAATACAAGAGCGCTGTGAAACTGGCATCAGTCCACCTCCAGGCATGTAAGAACCACTGCGTGAGAGGACGTCGGAGGATCCTTTTTATTCTCTTAGACATGAGTCGAATGTAGAGCTAGGAAGTGGACACAGAGCATAATGTTGATTATAGGCTGACCCCTGCCCTCAGAGCTGTTGTGGGATCAATGGTTATGGCTGCTGCTGAATAGCCTCTGACCCACCCCTGCTTTCTTGGTTACAGGGATGAGGAGTCCTCCAGTCCAGCCGGCCGTGGGAAGCTGGTGCCATCTTTCTGTCCAACCGGAAACCTTGATAACGGACTAATTGACCAAAGAGTGTTGAAACAGAGGTGGGGGCACTGACTTTAAGATATTTAGACGCCGCTGGGCTCGATGGCTCAGCCTGTAATCCCGCGCCTTTGGGAGGCTGAGGTGAGTGGATTGCCTGAGCCCGCGGGTTCGAGACCCGCCCGGGCAGCAA